AACGTACAACACTCTCATAGGAGGCTTTTGTAACGCCGGTAGATGGAATGATGGTGCACAGCTGCTGAGGGATATGATCTCAAGGAAAATCACCCCGGGCGTCATCACTTTTCATTTATTGATTGATAGTTTTGTGAAAGAAGGGAAGCTTCTAGAGGCTAAAGAATTGTACAATGAGATGGTTAGAAGAGGTATAACTCCTGATACTTTTACATATAGTTCTTTGATAGATGGCTTTTGCAAGGAGAACCGCCTAGACGAGGCCAATCAGATACTGGATCTGATGGTTAGCAAGGGATGCGATCCTGATATCGTGACTTATAAGTTATAATATCCTTATAAACGGATATTGTAAGGCTAGGCTGGTTGACGATGGTATGAGACTTTTCCGAGAGATTTCTTTGAGAGGGCTGGTTGCCAACACAATTACTTATAACACTCTCATCCAAGGGTTTTGTCAATCGGGAAAACTTAAGGTTGCCCAAGAATTTTTCCAGGAGATGGTTTCTCGCGGTGTGCCGCCCAGTGTCGTTACTTATGCTATTTTGCTAGATGGGTTGTGTGACAATGGAGAACTAGAAAAGGCATTCGAAATATTTGAGAAAATGCAGAAGAGTAAGATGGATCTTGATATTGGTATATACAGTATCATCATTCACAGGATGTGCAATGCTAATAAGGTGGAAGAAGCATGGGATCTATTTTGTAGCCTCCCTCTCAAAGGAGTGAAGCCTGATGTCAAAACATACAACATAATGATATCAGGATTATGTAAGAAAGGCTCACTGTCTGAAGCGGACATGTTGTTTAGAAAAATGAAAGAGGATGGGTATGCACCAGATGATTGTACATACAACACGATAATTCGAGCACATCTCCGAGGTAGGGACGTAATCAATTCAGTTGAACTAATCGAAGAAATGAAGAGGTGTGGGTTCGCTGCAGATGCTTTTACTATGAAGATGGTTTTTGATATGTTATCGGATGGTAGATTGGGAAAAAGCTTTTTGGATATGCTTTCTTAGAATTTTGGTATTTACAGAGCATTGAAAATACTTTTGGTTAAAAGTTAATTAGTACTTTTTTTTTCCTTTTCCTTACTGATTCCTAGTTACATTCGGATTGCTATAAGACCAAACAAGCTGGTGTTATAAATAAACCGCAATTGACAAAGACAACAATGTC